GAAAACGCAATGGACGACTTGAAGTTTGAGGTGGACCCAGAGATGAAAAAGGTGTTGCAGGAAAGCACCCAGATAAATAACAATTCGATAAACATTGATAATTCTGAAGCGATGCCCTGCGTCCAAGAATCTCAACACGCAAACGAATCTAAAGTGAAAGATATATTTTCGTTCGATTCGAAGAATAAAGAAAACTCCTTGCTCTTGCAAACGTCGAAGTTCAAAGAATCGAAGGAGGAGTACAAGAACGATTCCTCTTCGAACAAAAAGCCAAGGTTATTCCTAAAGAAGAGTGAATCCAGATCTGGCAGTGAAATCGTCGACTCCCTTTTGGATACTAATCACGAGCAAAACATCTTCAATTCTGCCTTGAAAAGTCGAATCTTCTCTACCTCTTTAGACAATCTGAATTTACGAACTCACTCTGCTGATACGAATTCGAGTAACAGTATTACAAGAAAGTTAAGACAGAAGGAAGATTCAAATCCCTGTAACGATTGTGACAATAGAATACGTTACAAAGATACCAACGATGTTGTAATTGCAAGACCAAGAAGTTTTCCAATTGAACCTTACTTATCCTGTAAATCACCAAATGATGTAGATGTTTCAAATATCAAAAAGGAAAAAGACAAAGGGAGAGAAAAATATAACAGTACACATCCCATCCTTTCTTCGTTGGAAAATTTACCTAGATCTACCTTAGACACTCCGTTCGCACCGTTCTCCTCTCGAGTAGTATCAAGAGAACTTCCAACATCGTTTTCAAAAGAAAGCAACAAAGGATTCGATAGCGTTCCGACGCAAAAGACCGTTAACGGGGCGTTGAAGTTCGACAATGATTCACAGAAGATTGGAAAAAATCTAACTCTTTGCGAGGCCAACAGATTGAAACGTATGAAATTCTTGAACATGAATTTGTCTCAGTCTGAACCAGCCACGGAGTCCGAGACGAACAACAGTTCGGTAATCACGAGGAGGACAAGAAACGAGAGCTCGACCTCCGAGTCAAAAATAGGTCAAAATAGCGATTCGATGTTCAAGGATAAATTACTGATAGGGAGGACGTCCTCTTTAAGAGAGAAATTTGAGACGATCGTAGAAGATGTGGAACTGAGACCAGGCCGGCAAATAGGTACAATAATATGCGACCGTAAGTCGCAAAAGTAGTGTGGAAACGTGATTGCTTGTATTTGCAGAGTCCAAACCAAACCTCCACCCCGTTGTCTGTCCTGGTTTTTTACTCTAGCAAACAGATGTGTTGAAACACTTGTAATACGCCCTGTCTCGTTGCTAGTACTCAGACGTACTTCTCCTAGGTTCTCAATTCTTTCAACTTTTACACTGTTTGGATTAAGCATTACATCTCATTTATGTTCTCTAGCTTTGTCTGTGATCTAGAATTTCACTTTTATGTTTTTTATTTTTTTCTCTTTGTCCCTCGTTGAAGTATTATCATTTATGTATCATTTGATGACACACAGAGTAAATGTAAATATACTTGTGACCTCACGAAAACCTCACGAACCTACGAAGAAAGTGATTGGAGTTTCTTTTTTTTTTCCTTAGATACTTCTTTTTTTTTTTTGTCATTCTTTCATGCTTTCTTTTACGTGTAAAAACATAGCGCTTATTGCTTTTTCGTTTTGTTACGCGAATTTTTCTCTGGCTACAGTTGCAGTTCAATTTTTTTCTATGGTCTTCCAGCTAACCAGAAAGTGATCCAGCAACCGCAACAAAGGCCGGCGAGCACACCAACGGAAACTCAACACTGCGTGTTGACGAGTGTTCAACAGGAGATCGCCGCACGTCGGAAAGCTAACATTTCTCGTCAGGATTCAAGGCTGTCTGTGAAATGTTTGATAGAAAGCATCGAGAATGCGACGAAACAAGCGAAAGCAGGTATGAAATACAGAGATGGATTTTTTTATACTTACGTATATATTTTTACATGATTCTGATGTAATAATTTGTTGCACAGGCCCTGGAAGTCGTAGCAGTTCTACATCCTCCTTGAACTCTATTGGAACGAACGACATAATGACGTTAAAAGCTCCTCTTCGTGATCAACAACAGATCAATAATCTAATTTGCACAACCAATTCAACGAATAATAACAAAACACAAACTGCAATCACTAGAAAACCACTGTCAGGTAATTTCCTTTTTTGAACGTTGTTGTAATATTGGCTGCGCCAAGGAGCAACGCGTGATTTCTATTCAAACGAATTTTGTGGGATTATTTAT